GTTTTTTTCCAGAGAGAGCTTCCCTTGGGGCACGCTTTCTGCTGCGTCTCTTCTTTCTCCTAACCCACTCCCAGACCCAATCCACCTCTCTCCCTACTGCTGAGATCCTTTCCACACCACTTGGCCTTCTCTTGGCAGGGAAACAGGGAGCCAAAGCGAGCCCTCAGCACCGTTGAGATCCAAAGTCAACATGGATTAACGATACAGCCTCTCTCCACCACTGCCCTCCTCCTGCATGGCAGCCAGCCCTGGAAGGGGTTCAGAAAGGTGTTACAGCCTTGGTTGTTGTCTCTTCGCTGCAGCTAAGCGCTGCTGCGGAGTGGGCATCCCTCACCTGCTATCTGCCTCCTACAAGGCTCCTTGAACCTGCCCATCTGCCACATCCCCTCCCACAGGCCCACACAAGCACTTTTGGGCTTGGTGTAGATGCGATTGGGAGCCCAGCTTTGCCCTTTGCAGCTGGGACCCGAGTGCCCTTTGATCAAACTGTGGCATTTCCCCCTTCCCCAGCACAGACAGTGCTTTTGGGGGACCATCATCCCATCTCACCCAAGGACGGGCTGGGACAAGAGGGTTCTCCCACATATCTGTGCTCATGCTGGACCCTCAGGAAACCCAAACCAAATCCTAAAACCACTCTGGAGAGACGCAGCGACAGAAGGGAGCTCTGGAGGGTTTGTGGACCTACCGTGCCAGAGGCCAGCAGCAGTCAGTAGCACCAGGAGGCCAGCGCCCATCTTCCCAGCAACGGTGGCACCTCCCCAGCTCAGATCTGGGGTGCAGAGAAGACCCTGCAGGTGGCTGAAGAGACCCTCTCGGGCGGCAGGCGCCTCTCCGCACAGGCACTGTCCACAGCGCTCTCTCAGTAGGAGGTTCTCCTTTCTGAGTTGACCACGAGTTGAGAAATTCCTTTTTTTTTTTCCGGTTTGTTTTTAAAATGGGAGGGGAGAGGGGGAAAAAAAAGCGATGTTTTGAGATGTCATCAGTGACAAACCTGAACCATACAGGTGGGACTGTAGGGCCCAGCAAGGGGCCCCCAGGGCAAGCACAGGGCAGCACTCCTCTACAGCAAGTCCACAAAAAGGCCTTGGGCTCAGCCCCAGGTGGCTCCCAGGTAGCAAAGGCTCACAAGGACAACAAGTAGTTTGGTTTCAACTGAGGATACGAACCCCAGGGCAGAGAGGGCCCTGTGGCCCTGAGCCTCACGAGGCCACACTGTGGCCCTTCTCTAGCCAGCAGCATGCAGAGACACGGCCATCCCAGAGCGCTGCAGCCATTGAAGGGGACAGCGGTCAGGGAGCTGCTGCCAGGCTGCAGGCTCCACCAAGGACCCTTCTCCCTGGCCCCAGGGAATATCTCCCACCTGCCCCACTGTTCTCACACCTGCAGGGCTCATCCACCTCATGGAGCCGGCTTTGGTGGGGAGGCTTTTTGCAGCTGCTTTCTGATTGCCAACCTGGCTGGCACCTGGGAGTAGTAATGAGGTGCTTTGTTAACCCTCTCCTGGACTGCATCTCTTCTAAAATCAGGGGTGAGAGTAGGATTGAAGCAAAACATCCCGCTAAGGGGTGGTCAGGTCAGCAAAATGTTAGCAGGTCAAGGGAGGTGCAGGGTCCCCCTTGCCCTGTGCTGCGATGCTAGTTAAGCTCATGCTGCAGCAAAAGTTCAACCTGGGTCGTGACAGCTCTGGGGTAGGAAGTTACAACCACCAGCTGGTAGCACAGGCTGAGAAAGAGGTCTTGGGGTGCTCCAGAACTCCTAATTAGCTGCTTGGAGCCACAGCTGCTTGTCTGCTCTCAGCAGGGAGGTGTCAGAGAGATGGGCTGCCTAATTTGGACAGAAGGACCCAGGGTTTACTGAAGTGTCTGTACAGAGGTGGCTGTTGAATCTGCACTTACAGCTCAAATGTTCCTGACGGAGTAGTCCTCCTCGTGTCTCTGTAAATCAGAGGGGAGCAGGCTTGCGGGATTCTCCAAAGGGGCACTTAGAGAGGTACCGGGAAGACAATATCTTTCGGGCCAAGAGATGAAAGCACGGCTGACTGTGCTGAAGATGACTAAGAGTCATGGGAATGAGGAGAGAGCTCTAGGTTTTGGCCAGAGGGATGGCTGGAGAGCACAAGGGAGCGAAGGAGTCCAGAGAGAAGAAACGGCAGCTTTTGGCTGCAGAAGATTTCCTCTCAGCAGTTTTTCCTGGCAGGACATGGGGAAGAAGGACATGAACCAGAGACACTGTGGTGTGTTGGGGGGCTCCTGCCCAGAACTGGGGGCTTGGAGAGTGGTTGGGCTGCAGGAGATATCTGGCTGATTATCTTTCCTCCTTTTGAGCCAAAGGGACTTTTTAAAGGATGTTTGCTTCCCTCCTTCTTCTTTTTAATTTTTTTTTTTCCAGGAACAAATGCCAGCTCAGAGAGAACTGACTCACTCATGTGAACAAGTATTAAACCAGACAGGTTGCTAGCAGAGAAGGGAAACAATCTCTCAGCCTCCCTTCTTGCCTTGGAGGAGCCCCTTACAGAGCCTCTCCGATGGCAGCAGTCTACAGGTGACAAGTCACAGCCAGCGCACATGGCTCCTCAAGTTGGGCTGGGCACACCTGAGGATGCTCAGGCTGGTGGGACAGGCTGTCTGCTGGGCTTCCTGCCTCATTGGTGGTCAGTCTCTTCCTGCCTGTGGGCAGCACCTCCAAGTTCTGTGACTGCAAGCAGCAGCTCAGCCACTGGAGTGTTACTAGTGCGGGCACAGCTCCTACCGCTCAGGATTTCCTTCCCCAGGTTGTCATGAGTGGGTTGACATAGCAGTAATAAGAGCTGTGCCAGGCTTGCACAGGACCAACTTGATGCAGAAGATCCCCGCTTTGCATGGCCAGCTGATGCTGTTAGCCCAGGTGGGCTCCTGTGCCCAAGCAGCTCGGAGCAAGAAGCAGCATTACTCTCAGAGGAGCTGCAGCCTTACTTTGAGTCATTTGAAGTCCAAGGATGTTTGTGGAGGCCTCCATGGCCAAGATGGCATGCTAGGAGATGGCACGAGACCTACCCACTACCTGTTTGGCCATGGGCTGGCTGTAGAAGGTAGAGGAGTTGTGAGCACTTGGAGCCCAGGCTGATTTCCAGGCTGGTGGGAGTTGGGCTGGACTGTTGCAGCCCTGCAGGACCCCTGTACTGTGCACAGCCATCTGCAGCATCACTGCCTGTCTCACCTGCCCTGCAGCAGCTGGGGGGCACGTGGGAAACAGCCATGTCCTGAGTCAGCTGTTGGTACCCAAATAGCTAAAAGTCCTGCTGTGGGGAGCCTGACTGCTGCAGCAGGCCATGTTTGTCTCCAAAGGCACCATCTGAATTTCTCTGCTTCCCTGGGCTCCTACACAAGATGCCTGTCTCACCATATGTGCTTACTACCAAAGAGGAGAGCAACTTATTTCAGGTGGAGAAAATGTCTTGCTGGAGGTCCCAGGGTCCAGCTACTCATATCCCTCCCAGCAACTCCTTCTTGGTGCGTCTCCACATGCAAAAGGCCTGCTGGGTGGAAATCGGGCTGTGGGAATGAGCCAGGTTCTCATCTGAGAGCTAACAAGCCCCCTTCCCTGCTTTTCTGCAAGCCTTTACTGCAGCCTTTCTGGAGATGAGCTGATTTTTTTCCCTTGCTGATTCATGTCCCGGAGAAAAATGCCCCGACACGGCTGAGCCATGCCAGGTGACCCAGAGCAAAACTTGGGGAGAATCAGCTTGAGCTGGTCAGGGAGCCTGCAAACCTCCTCTCTAGCAAACTAAGCAGAGATGGGAGCTCAGGACAGGCCGTGCTGGAAAGGAGAACCTTGCTGAGACTTGAACCTGTCGCCTGCTGCAGCCAGTGCCTTGGGCCTTTGGGGTACACAAAGGGTTTCCAGGAGCTGGGGTGTACAAATCCCTGTGCAAACGGGCACGACTGCTGCCGGCCAGGACTTGTGCTGGGGCTGCATCACACAGCCTGAAAATTGGGACAAAGTCAATATATTTGAGCCTCAGTTCAAAATCCTCTTTGTGCAGCAACCTCAGCCTTTCCAAGCATGCAGCTCTGAGCTGGCTGCAAACAGCTCTGCTCAGCAGTCTGGGGTAGTTTTTGAGAGCAACAGTTTCAGTGGTGCTGCAGAGAGGAGGCAACTTTGGGCCGGACTCCGGGAGGTAACTGTTTCCCGTGTGCTTGGGGGACTTCAGCACTTACCTGGTGGCATCTGGGGGAAGGTGAGGGGACCAGGAGGAAAGGGGAGAGACAGAGGGACCTGGGATGAGAGGGATGGTAGTGTGGGGAACCAGCACTCGCGGGTTTCATCTTTAAAGGGTAATTGCACCTTCCAGAAGGAGAGGAGGAGAATGCAGCTCAGAGGAGCTCTGTGCACCACGGCTTGGCTCCTGCTGCTGCCCTGCTCTCATTGCTAGCTCCCCTCTCTCCCGCTGCCCTGAGCCACTATACTATGGAGAAAAATAACTGCACTGTGGTGTTCCCACGCCTCCCTCCAACCCCACACTGCTCCAGCCTGGCAGACCCACATCTCTATCCTGACTCAAGCCCAGACCCAGCAGCGTGACTCAGGAGGAGGGCAAGCCCTGCTTGAAGGCTGCTGGGCCAAACCCCCAGCTCTGGGTTTCAGGATGTACGTGTTGCTGGTGCATCTTCTGATAGCTCAGCTGTCCTTGCATCCACTCACCTCCACTCAGCGCAGCGTGACCCACAGGCTGGCCCGCTACCAGATAGCCAGGGCAGACCCTGTCCTGTTTGCAGCCCCTGCTCCTTACCACGTCTCCGGGCTCAGCTGCTGCCTCGCTGTGCTTCTCACTGCCTGGTTCCCAGCTTGGCTTCTGCTAAGCGTTAGGGTCATGCACAGCGTATTAACGTGCTTAGCCTTCACCCACGACATGGTTAAGCTGTATGCCCAACCCATCTGAGCGGGAGCAAGTGGAAGCAGCCGAAACCAGGCAAACGAAGAAGAAGACGACACTTTGCAAAAAGAAGAAACACCTTTAATTTTAAACTTTTTCTTTAAAAACATATTTGTAAAAGTTTACAGCATAAAAATAATATCTCATGGCTATAGATGTGACATAATACGAGTCCTACAAATACATCTGTAAACCTAGGAGAATGTTAACTCTTTGGTACCTCAGTCTGAACTCTGTTTTCTTCCTTGCCCCAGGATGGTTTCTGGCAGACAGTGTAGAGGCAGGGAAGCTGCAGAGTAACGGTGTGATCCCAGCTGGTTCACACAGTGGAGGGGAGAGGGCAGCGAGCACGCTTTGGGGAGTTTTTCAGGCCTTTGCAACTTTGATGAGCTCCATACAGGAGGAAAGGATAGGAACAAGTGGGGCACTGCAGGCCTCCCAGCACAGCCCTCAGCTCTAGCTGGCTTTCCTGCCTCCTCTCAGTCCAGCAAGAAGAGCCATCTCTCCAAGAGTCACCTGGGCTAAACTGGAGCAGTTCTCCTGCATCCAGATCCATGTGGGCATGCCCCAGAGACCCCAGGCTGCGTCTGGGCTCCCCAGGGCTGACTTGGCAGCTTGCTGCTCTCCGGTCCACGTTGGGCATGTGTGAGGTTGTGCAATTTGCCCTGCAAACTGGCCATGCTGATCCTGGGATCCGAGCTAGGCACTGAGCCCAGCTGGAGACCTTCCCTAGCGCCTGTGCGTTGGAGCAGGGGCTTTGCCTCCTTACTGCATTAGCTGACATCCCATTTTAGAAAAAGCCGCCAAAAGAAGAGGTCTGTGAAATCCCCTCCTCCAGAGCAGCCCAGTTTTACACAGACAGACCCTGGACTTCCCCCACAGCCAGAATCTAACCCACTGCCCAGTACCCTGTATCTGCGGTGCTGTCTCTCCCCACCCCGGAGAGCTGGTGAGCCCTGACTGGGAAGAAGGGGAAGAGCCATTTCCCACTTCTGGCTAACTTTCTTCAGGCTGCACATCTGCCTTGCACTTCTGTCTTTCATCCCCACGGGACTCCACAACAGTCCCCTTGGCAGGTGAACAGAGACAATCTAGTTATAAGTAAAGGCCACTGTGCTCTAGATTTCATAACATGATGCAAACAAACACTAAACATGACACTCTCACTTAAAAAAATAGGAACGCGCAAACCGAGAAGGACAGAAGGGTCAAATCCTGCACACACATCAGTCTGAGACACATCTTAACATGAAAAGAGACACCAGCGTGTCACATTAGTTTCTGGGATATACTTAGGCACATATGAAAAAGTGACTGGCAGTAGGATTATGCATATATTGGTGCTGATAACAACGCAAGAGCTGTTGAGTACAATATGGTCTACAAATAAAAGATATTGCACTAGAGATGGGCCCAAGCTGTGGCATGTGTCCCTTCTGGGGATCTGGGCTGTGAGTAAAAGCCCCAGTTTGGGTCCACCTCTGAACATGAAAACACACCCAAACAAAAATTCTAATAATCAAAACTAAAAACCTGGAAGGACCGGTTCCCTTCAGAACGTCGCTGGAGAAATTATGGCTACAAAACTGATGGGCCCAGCAGAGCCAGCCGTTTCCCACAGCCCTCACCCATCGGACTGCACAGGGACTGGAATGTCAGAAGCAGAGAGAGAGGGAGAGAGGGCTGGATCTGGCTCCCTGTGCAGAGTGAGCTCATTTTTGGAGCTGGAAGCCTCTGCCCCTGCAGAGCCCTCTCTTAGAGGAGAGTTCGCTTAGCTGGGGCTACTGGGATGCCCAGCTGGAGCCATCGCTGGTGCAGAGCTTACCAGTTCTGTACCAGTACCGGGCAGCATCCACTGCCAGGGTACCTACACTAGCAGCCAGAGCTGCTACTCTGTCCTGGGTGGAGGAGATCTGCTCCTGCAGTGCGTGTGCATGCCCTCACTAAGGGGGTGATAGGACTAGCTGAATAGGAAAGTACCACAAAGTGCAAGACTTGGCCCTTGCAGTCCTGGGGCCAAAGGAAGATATTTGGCCATACCTCTCTGGAGGTGAGAACGGTACCATCATGCAAAGAGATTGGTGTACCGTGTTAAGAAAGGAGAGGATTAGCAGCAATTTGCTAGCAAATCTGACCCGATCAGCAGACAGAACAGGTTTTGGTGCAAAGGATAATTGAAATAAATGGGATAAAAAATATGCAAATGGGATAAAAATGCAATAGCCATCCAAGGGTAGTGAATGCCCAGACAATAGGAGAGGATACCTGAGTTCCCCCTTGAGGGAGAACAAAAAATCTTCACTTTCAGGACTGTAGAAAAGCATTTGATAGTGGGAAATTAGTAATTCATCTGTAGAACATGGAGTTTAGTGCAGGGACTGTGAAGTGAATACGGAAATATCCCAAAGGAGGGTGAGAAGCGGTTAAATGATGGGGAACTCTTTGGGCTGGAGGGAGGTAGTAGAAGTGGTTCTCCAGGGTTGCTCTTGAGACCAGAAGCATTGAATATTTCTATTAGTCAGTCCAGCCCAAAAATAACAAGTTTGCTAATGAAATGAACTGATGACCCAATGTCTGGAACAGCAGGAAGTATCTCGGTTAGAAATGCCAGAAGAGTAGAAAGATGTGGGTGCCTAGATCGGTCAGGGGATGACTCCAAACTGCCACTATGTTGTGACTGGGAAAAGGCCAACATTAGCCAAAGCTACACCAGGCAAGACAATTCCAGCATAGATCAGAATGTATTAATGCCCTATGCGAGGTCCTGATTTGACCTCCCCTGGAGTACCGGCTACTTCTCATCACCCTTGATAGAGAAGGATAAGTTCAAAATGGGGCTAGCGCAGGCAGTGGCTGTTAGGATGATGTGATGTGGCATCCTATGGGCTCAAGCTGCAGAGACATGGATCCTACCAAGCACCTTAGAAGTTAGAAAAATATCTACTCCTCTTTTAGCTGCATAAATGGAAGCTTTACTAAGTAGCAAAGACTGACGACTTAAGACAGAAACTGTCTTGCTTGGGGTTTACTGGCAGAAGTCTCAGATTTTTTCAAGAAAAAAAAGAAATCTAAATAGCTGTAAGGTGGCTGAAACCCAGAAATACATTGACTGAATTTTCAAACCTGTCTGCTTTCAAACCTGCAGTTTTTGTAGGACGCACATAAAGATGTGCATAAGCAGGGCAGTGAAGGGGTTAATGGAAGTGAGGGGCATGCAGCAAATAAAGCTCTGTGAAAGGCGAAACTTCTCCTTTTGGAAAAAAGCCTGTTCATTTCTGTGCTGATGTCACAGTTGTAGCTTTTGGGGTTCAGCTTTCGTCTCTGCAGAGCAGGAGCTCACGGCTGATTTCAAAAGCCTGGTGTTCCTCCTGCTTTGAGTCCCCTCATTCAAGTGCCAGCATAGAGCACAAGAGGTCCCAGGCCTGTCTGTGAGAGCCGGGGAGGAGGCGAAAGTGGGAGGAAGATCTCTGCCATTTTATTCTTCAAAGTTCTTTCCAAGAGAGAGGAATCCTGCCCGATTCTTGCTCTGCTTGGTTCCCCGTGGCACTCCATCCACAGTCCCCAGCAGGCTGCGAATGACTGTGCCCGGCCACCAGAAATGCTATTTGTTGTTGAAACCTACCTTCCTTTGTGTATTTTGGCAAGCAGAGAGATTCGAAGTGGCAGTGTGTCAGACACGGTTCAGCCCTGGCCAAAGAGCCTTCCGACCTCTCTCTCGCTCTCTCTTTAGCAATGTCCCTCTGTTGGTGTTCTGGCATCCTTAGCGCTCTCCATAGTCTTACTACAACTCAGGAGGGACCGGTGAGGCCTCCCGTCCTGAGAATGAGGGTGCCTGGGTGAACAGTCAACCACAAGCAAGCCCTTGCTTCCCAAAGATAAGGCACAGAGATTTTGCAGCCGATGGGGTTATATGAGTTCCCAGCAGATGAGCTGGGCTCAGTGGCAGTAGAAGATTAATGAATAGCCATATTGCTTCCTGATACTGGCCCTGGCTAGTGGATTAGTATATTTGTTCCCTTTAAATCTTCCGTGGAGGCTATTTAGCTTAGTGTCCATGCAGGCAAAGGCAACATTGCCCTGTCTGTTACCACAACAAAGTCATTGTCAGAGCTTTTCCAGTTCCTGGCATGCCTTGGGAGCCCTGGGTGCTTTGCTGGGCAGAAAGCATTTCAGGGTGTGACAGCCCCTACAGGTTGATGTAGAGCTGTGTCCCAAAGCCGTGGTACCTGTAGTGCCTCTGATGCGCTATCCACTGTAGAGGAGCTGGCGAGAAAGGTTATTCAATATCTCCAAGACGCCGGCTGATCTCTCCAGGCCTTGGCTGCACTAGAAGGAAAATCCACCCAATGACTTCTTGATCTCCAGCAGCTGGAGTGGAGTGTTACAGCTTCTCTATACCCCGATGATGGTCTCCAAGGAAATTGTCTGTCCTGGTGGCATTTCACAGAACCTGTGCCACAGTATGGCTGGTGCTGAGACCATCAGAGAAGTGCTGGTGCAGAGGAGCTGAAACTCATTGCCATCTGAAGAGCACGGAGGGGGAAGAGGTGGGAGTATCACATTAGCAAGGTAGAAGGTGGCGTCTCATGTGGAGATCTGGCCTGCGTCTTCCACTTGAAGAGAAGGTGTTGGTCTATGAGATGTCTCCCTCCAGCAGCGGTTTGATCACTGGGGAGGTTGTGGCAGTGATATGGAGGGTTGCTGGCACAGAGCCACCTCTTTGTAACAGGGGAAGGGGATGGCAACGGAGGAAGAGTCTCTAATTCCCCACCCGATCCCAGGAGATGGGAGGGAGGAAGGAATGCCAGGACAGGCGTGGACGTCCCTATGAACAAGCGCAAAGCTTGGCTCTCTGCAATGTCTGGTTCAGCCCTCAGCTGGCCTTGCCATGGACAGATGCAGAGTCAGCCCAGCTCTGACTACAGGAAACTCTCCTCCACCTCGTGGTGCCCTGCGTTCGGCTCCTGGCAGACCGGCTGAGAGTCGAATTCCTGCTCCTCGTCCTGCCGTGGGCCCAAGGGGCTGTCACAGGATATCGTAGACGATGTGTTCACCTCGTTCAGCATAGAGCTGAAGGGGGACAAGGGGGAGAGAGAAATAAGTGTCCTGTCCCGAGTTTCCTGGTAGGAGAGGATTCCCAATGGGTGAGAAATGCCTTGAACTTATGGCAGCCTGTGTCTATCTGAGTAGCTTTCCACAGGGGGACAGACAAAATCACTTGAGTGTATTCAGCCCTCATACCCAACGTATAGCCATTTGTGCTCTGTGGCCTGTGCTCCCCCATGTGCACTCCTCCTCATGAACGGGGTCTCTTGTCCCCAGCTATGCTGGCTGATGTCACGGGATGTGACATAAAACCCTGTCTTAGCTCACTTCCTAGCTCCCGCGGTTCATCTCCATCCCCGGGGTCTTTTGTGAGGTCCCAGCACCTGATATGGGGGTGATCCTGCCCTCCGTCCCCGCCAGGGTAAACCCACCCTGGCTCATCCCTGCGCAGAATCTCCTCACTTGCTCTCGAGGCCCCCATTTTCATTTTCGGGCAGCCAGGGGAAGGGGGAGAATTCAGGAGTGACTCTTCTACCTGGCCCGGCTGATGGAGGCCTCCTGAGGGAGGTCACACGTTCCCTCAGGCTTGGGGTCAGGAAGGGGGATGATATAGTCGTTCTCGCCCCCGTTCTGGTGCACAGCCGTGTAGAGGATGCTGCTGGTGGGGGAGCTGGGAGCAGGCCTGGCATTGTTCAGTCCAGGGATTGTGGGTCTTGTGCGGACAACAGCGGGGTGGTCACTCTTCATGAACTCTTCATCCACCTGTTGGTACCTCTGCTCCCATAGGGCAGGTTACCAAAGAAACGGGAAGTTCTTGTGAGCAGTTAAAATGAACTGAAGTTGTGTTGGCTTTCCCTGCCTGCTAGGCTTCTTCTAAAGGGGCAGGCACCTCCTAGCTGGGTTCAGCTGCCCTGACTCCACTACAGACAGACCACGAATGTTTCCTAAGAGGGGGGTTAAGGGAATGACCCCACAGCTTCAAAACATCAAACAGTCGGAGGCAGGTTTCCGATCTCCTGCCAATCGTGAGGTCCCTAGTTCTTGAGATACCAGCTGCTGTCTGGCAATGCCGGTTGCCTCAGCATGCTCAAACCACCTTCGCTGGCTGTTCAGAATAATTCAGGTCAGGTAACGGCAAAATCCTCTGGCACAGCAGGGACTAATCACTCGTCTCCCAAACCCTGAGAGCTCTAGCCACGGCAGCATCCTCCCCATAGCACTGGCGCTCTTCTGCTCCTCCAACACGGGGTCCTCTGTACATACCTTTCTGTAGCAATCCACCAAGAGGTTTCCCATAAGCACCACCAGCTGTGAGAAGGATGGTCTTATCTCAAACTTCTCCTCCCAGCACTTCTGCATGATATCGTAGCTAATCAGAGGGAAGAGAAGGGCATGCTGGTGAGTTAGCAGGTGGGGAAAACAGGGGAAGAAATGCTTCTGTAGTTAGTGCAGGACAAGCCCAGGGAAAGCATATACAGACAGCACTTACATTTCATCAGAGGCATGGGTGGGTTTGGACATCCGATAGCCGCGTTTGATGGCATTGTAGAACTGTTCGTTCATAGGCAGTTCAGGGTATGGAGTCCCTCCTGGGTATAAAGGCAGAGCAGGGAATGAGGCTGATGGAGACTGCCACCCTCATGCCACCAGGTGTATCACCCCAATATTTCCTGTTCTTGTTTGCCTTTCCTGTTTCTTTTCACTTCCAAATGGCAATGTTAGCGTAGGAAAGAAGGAAACATGGCATGAAGTGCTAGTCTGATGCTCGTAGGGTTGGGACTTGGGGATAAGAAATGGATTTGCACCTTCTTGGTTTGGGAAGGGATCCTGGGGATGTGCAGTGCTCTGCTAATGTGCTACCAGACCTAAGGACACCAGCATGATCTCCAGGGCACTTACCCAGAGTGAATATCTCCCAGAGGAGAATCCCAAAGGACCACACATCACTCAGGGTGGTGTAGAGGTTGTTGAAGATGCTCTCTGGGGCCATCCACTTAAGGGGCAAGAAAGTCTAAAAGGGAAAGATGGAACAAGAAGAGAGTTAGCTGCAGTTACGGCATTTGTGTATCAAGACTCGGCTTACAAGCGAAGGAGATGCCCTCAGAGCTGCCCATCAGCCCAGCACAGTTGCTGTCAGCCACTCCATGGGGGAACCAGTCTCCTCTTTCCTAGCACAGGGTGAATCCAGCAGGCAGGAGGGAAGAGAGCAGATGCTACGTCCATTTCCACGGTAGCCAACAGCCTGTTGCTGCGATAAACTGTCATGGTGTGCATCTGTATTTCTGAACCCTCGGGCAGAGTGTGCTGACTTGTGCGTGACCGTGGCGCTCTGGCAGGGACTCCAGGCCCGTCTAGACTTTGCAAACCTGAAACCAGGCTGCAGAGAGCTATGGGGCTAGGAGGAGATGGGCTGAAGAACACATCCAGGACACATCCATGCTCCTTTGTCTTGCTCGTATCCACTCAGAGCGATGCATAAAAGGAGCCTCACTTGGTCAGCTTGTGTGCTGTGCTGTTCCCGGGCTGGAAAGGGATTTGCTTGCACAATGAATACCAAAATAATCCCCAGGAAAGATTGCAAACCGGTTTCGTTTCCTGTTTTGGAAGGAAAAGTAGCTATGCCAAGGCTGGATTGGAAACCCCAGCCCCTCTGCAGGAGCAGGGACAGCGAAGGGCCTTGCACCTTCTCCGGACACTGAGAACCTGGCTGCCAGCCCACATGAGTGGGATCAGGTGGAAGGAGGCTGAGCAGTTCACTGAGTAGCTAAAGACTGTGGTTCGAGGGACCCGGCTCTCAGCTCCTCTAGCCTCAATTTCCCTGTCTGCCAAATGGAGCCAATTATATGGCTTGCTTTTCTCAAGGCTGCGTACTCCCTAATGCCTCGGGGCTGGGGTGGACACACTGTTGTTGAAGGTACAGCCGAGGCTCTGAGGGATGCTGATTTACACCCTCATCCTCTTCTGCCTCGAAAGATCGGAGAGGTCTTTCTGGAAAGTAGCTGCTCGCGCTGTGAACCTCTTCCCAGTGTCCAGTGACTCACTGCACCACTGTCGAGCAGTCTGACCCTGCACTCCTCCTGCCTGCAACTCAGGACCGAACACAGCATAGTGTGGGGAAGTGATGCAGGCCAGCTACTGAGGATGGGCTGTTCGGGGGGCTCTCATGGTCCCTAGTTTTTCTACAGCTACTCAGGTTCTTCTGTAAGAGCCTAGAAGTATGGGCACGTGATACCGCGACTCCATGGCATACAGAGCACATCAGGTGCTGGCTGCTGGCACTGTTACCTGGGAGTCCTGCCCTGCCGTCACCCCCAGGCGCAACGATGGACAGACCACTCACAGAGCGAGAGCATAGCGGGTGCCAGGCCCAGAGCAGGCAGGGGGAAGGGGCTTGCATGGCTTATGGCACTCACGCTGCCTTTGGAGATGTAGTTTGAATCCCTCATGATGTCCCTCGCCAGGCCAAAGTCACAGATCTTCACCAGCTTCCCCTCGCAGATGAGGACGTTCCTCGCAGCCAGATCACGATGCACGCACTGCAAGGGGGAGGCAGGCCATGGTCACTGTGAGGGGCAGGAAGAGTGAGGGACACAAGACCCCCAGGTCCTCCCCACAGGACTCTGGAGGGGGGCAGCCCAACTCCAGCGCTAGTCCCATCTTGGGGGTGCAGGGACAGGATTGACCTCATGTCACTGGAGGCACCTCCATGGCCTCCAGGGACAACCCTGTCTCACAGCCACTAGCAGTGCTACCTCATTTTCACTGCTACCTTGGGCTGCTTCCCTCTGCAACAGTAACAGGCATCCAAATCTCCTGAGGGCAATCTGAACAACCCAGTGGAGAGGGGATTGCCAGGTGCTGACTATGCAGGGTGGGCAGTGGGCTGGTGCAGAGGAGATATCTCTGTTTGGACAGCCCCACCTGCTATGGAGTGCCTTGTGCTTTAGCGCAAAGACTGTATCGTGTTTGGGGGTGGTCATCTTGGTAAAAGGAAATGATATAGCACCACGACTGTGCTGCAAGTGGCTTAGGAGGAGCTCAGAATCAGGGAATTTGAGGTCTGAAGCTCGATCTAAGCCAGGGCTAGCTGTCATGTGCGAATACAGTCACACTGATCCCCCAGGGCTGTGTCCCCTCACTGCAGAGGGACAGTGAGCCGAAGCTGACCACAGGACACGGAGGAGTGTTCTTGCTTCAGCCACTGCGGACACCACGGACTAGCCTGCATACGTACATTTTTGGAAGCCAGAAACTCCATCCCGTTGGCCACCTGGAAGCTAAACCCGACCAAGTCCATGTAGCTGAGAAGCGGAGACTCGTTTATCAGTGTCACCCGGTCTGTTCTTTCAGGAGCTGAAGGGAGGGAAGGGCAAGCAGATACTCACACTGGTGTTACTTGGCACACTTGTGGATTCGCACTGGAGCCTGCGCTGAAAGGACCCAGCCCATCAGGGGTTGCTCAGCCTCCATAGACATAGAGGCAGAGCCGGGGGCTGCCAGCACAAGGATGTCTGTCACCGTTGCTGGAATAGTCCCAAAGGTGACCTTTGCAATGTGCACCACCCAGGTCTGCAAGCAAGGGCATCCAGTGCCCCAAGTACAAGCTCTTCTCCCTCCTGCTGTGGCTGAGCCGTTACCTGATGGGGAATAGGTGTCCAGCTCATATGGGGTGCCGTAGTTGGAGGACTCAATGTCAGCGTACTTGACTTCACCCTTCATATCAGACATGGGCACGTAATCCAGGGAGTCGTCCTTGCTCATGTCCATGTAGCCCCCATCGCTCTCAACAGACAAGGAGAGGTGACTATGGTGGGAAGCAAAGAGGCTGTTCAGGCCCAGAGGAGCAGAGGAGATGCACGGAACGGGAAAACAATTTGCGGGACTACAATAACTGAACCCTCAGCCCTGGCACTAAAATGTCCCAGCAGGGGATGAAGCCTTGCATCGTGCATACCGAGATGTGCAGATGGCACTGGAGACCTTCCATCACCAAACAGTTCTAGTGTTTGGCCTCAGCGCTAGCTTTACATAGCTCTACTATATTCCCCTGAGGGTGTCCAAGGGTCCTTGGCCGCCGGCTGCAGCTTTGCGTGCCCTCCTGGCCTGCCAGAGCATGGGCTTAGATCAGCATTTGAGCGCAGTGCCAGTGGAGTACAGGAAGGTGAGCCAGGGCCAGGCAGCTCCACGGGCGCCAGTAAGGTGAGACAGTGCAAAAGCCAAGCTGGAGTGGGCATGCAAAGCCCTCCATGTCAGCTGTGCAGGGTCCCGCAATGGCTGGGGCCAGCCCTAAGATGGCTGAATGGAGTGAGCATGCTGACATCGCTCAGTCCACATTTAAACCTCCCTAGTTCGGGTCAGCAGAGCCTGTATGTCCATCCCCACAGAGCACCTCTCCCTTGAACAAGCAACAGCTGCAACCGGGAAGCAGCATCCAGAGGCTTTCTACATACTGCCGCTGAGCAAGGGAAACCTGCTGCACAGCTGAGCCGTGGGGCAAGTCCCTGCAGGCTTGGCCTGGGCACCGCGAGCAGCTCAGTAGGCTATGCTTGGTGCTTAGCAGGAACTCAGCTGCCTTCAAGCAGAAAGCATGGGGGGGTGGCTGTGCTGATGTCCTGACACCGCTCTGTTTTACTACTGTTTTGGTACGCTGGAAGGAAATGCTGCTTTCTAACTTCCCACGGGACTGCTTCTCTGTACTGACGCGCCTGCACCCCGTATGGCCAGTGACCAGATGAAGGACCCTTTGCTCTTAGAAGCTCTTGTGCAACTACACTCCTTCTAGCACTTCTCCCCTAGGCATGGTAGCAACAAGACCTGCCCTGAAAATGCAGAACTGAGGTCTCCAAGGCCTAAGACATGCTGGGAAACCTTTCTTCTCTGTACTCGATGCATAGCTATGGTAAAACGATGCCAGGGAAAACTAATGATGCCAGGGAATATTCCCCACTGGCATGCTGCAGCTGGCATGTATGCTAGGAAACTCAGCCTCCAGGACACACAGATTGCCTCTTCTAACTCTACCTGCTAGGAGTTCTATGGGGATGGCGGGCTGGCACAGGGAGCATTCTCACAAGTGGACAAGTGTGTTCCGGTGCGGGAGAGGAGTCTATTTTACCGGTCTGGAAGAAACCTAGGTATCCAGAGTACCGGCTTCCCTCAATGGTAGGGGCAAAGATGGGGTTGGCACCAGGGAGGAAGAGAGCGCTACTTTCTAGGCACCTTTGCACGTGGTCCTCCTTGGTGGTGTTCCCGTACACCTCCGCCTCTCGCCGGGCTTTCTCACTGTAGGACTGCAGGAAGGTGTGCTTGTTGTGGTGCAGGTAGTCCACCAGGTCCCCGTAGCGGCAGTACTCGGTGATGATATAGATGGGCCCTGGTGGGAGAGAATACCTTTGTCAGCCCTGTCTTTCTCCTGCTCACTCCCCAGGGCAGCGAGTTTCATCCCACAGGGGCTGGGGTTCTGCAGGCCACCTCTGCAGGGTCCAAGAAAGGTGACAGAAGCTTGTAGGTGCTGAGATGTGCATATGGGGCCTGAAACCCCAACGGGAGCCTCGAACCCAGAAACACGATTCCCACCCCAGGGGATGGTATCAGCTCACAGGACATGTTCCTGGCTAAGGTCACAGGGAAAAGCCACTCTTTTGGCAGCGAACATTTTTGGAGTTCGAAATCTATGGCTGGGAAGGGAGGTGGGGGTTAATGGAAAGATGCATTCTCAGCTTCAATCAGGCTGGAAGGAACAGCTTTTGGAGCCCCACTTGGCTTTCCTAGGCAACAGAAAGTCATTTTGAAACAGAAACCAGGAATTATTCTATCTGAGGACAATTCTCCCCTGCAGCATGGTCTGGGGCAGCGGGGAGAGGAGACAGGGCGCCTTGGGCCGAACAGGGCCCTCTGTGAACGAGGCATCGATACCTCCTTTGGTGCAGGCCCCCAGCAAGTTGACAATGTTCAGGTGAGGTCCTAGGTGGCTCATGATCTTCAGCTCGGACATGAGGGCCTGCTTCTCGCTGCTTCTGGCAGTGGCTGTAGGGGAAACTCGATGTGAGTGGAGGCAAGGCCAGCAGGGTGAGCAGAGCAGTGCACCGTTGTGGTGTTTGGGTGGAAAGATGGGGAGAGGGATGGTGGAGGGGACTCACACTTGAGCATTTTGACTGCCACTTTCATGGTGGACTGTGAATGACTCAAGCCATGGGCTGTTGCCTCCACCACGCGTCCAAACGCACCAGAGCCGAGGGTGCGTCCTGCAGAGAAACAGCAATGAGACAAAGTTGGTGATGACCCCCTGCGTGGACAGGCCGCATTGGAGAGGAGCTTGGAAAAGCCGTGTCCCTTGTCTAATGTGATGCCAGTCTTCCTGCAGCTGTCCTGGTGGGAATAACGATGGTGGTGAGCTACATTGTTTGGGGTTGGACCTGGTTGCTGACTGGCTGTGAAAGGAAGGATTTGCCAGTCACAGGGAAGAATAGCTAGGATAAAGCCAGTGCCTCACACCAAAGGGAGCAGCTGGTTTCCAACAGTTACCCCAGACAGCTCCTCCACTCCAGGGCCATCACAAGGAGGGGCCCCATCCTATCTCCAGTATCATCCTGGGTTGCTCTCCTTTGCACCCTCCCAGTGTGTGGGATCCAACACTGAGACATCTCAAACTCAAAAAGGCCTGAATACCCCTTCCTTCAGCCCCAGGTCTCTCTCCTCATGCTGCAACATCCCACCCTGGCCATGTTCCCACTCCAGGGCAGCACCTTCCCCAGGGCTCTGTGCTTGTCTCTTGGCTTTGCCATGCCAGCAATGCGGTGCCCCAAACCGAGGGACTGGCCACATCTTCCCCAGACAGCCAGGACCTGACAGGTCTGTCAGGTTGGACTCACAGACCAGCCTGTGGTTAGACCTTTACCTAACACCAGCTTGTCCCTGGGCACCTCCCAGCTGGAGTCATAAGGGAGCTGCATGGGATCCACGTAGATGTACTCGTGCCCATCGGAGCTGACTGACTCAATCACCTTCCAGCGGATTTCATAACGTGGTTTCTGGAGAGGAGAGCAAAGTGGCAAGAGAGGCTTGAGAGGCTGGGGGGTCAGGGAGGGCATGGGGTACGTGGATGGGCTTTGTCAGGCAGTTTGCGGTCCCTGCAGCCTTTGCTTCCCACCCACTGTGGCCTACAGACAGACGTCTGAGGATGAGGAGGGCGGTGGAGGCATATGATCCTCGGCTCAGGTGGGACAGCATGAGGGCTGTGACAGCAGGAAGCTCTCAGCTTCGCTCTTCCCTACCACCCGACATGGGGGTACCACCCTGGCAGCCTGGGAGCATTCTACCCCCTTACCTTCTGCCACAGAACGATGAGGATTACCAAGGAGATGACGGTGAGGACCAGCAAGGCCAAGATGACAGAGATGATGACCACTTTAAATGGCAAGGCTACAACGATAACCACAGAGATAGCAGTCAGACTCCTCTGTCCGTGCGTGGCCTGGGCACCGTGGGCAAAGTGGGGACACCAGCAAAGAGCGCTCCATGCCCCCTTCCCCTTCCCTGCTCTAGCTACTGTCCCTCTCCTGCTGCACACCTACCCACAGACATCTATTTGGGGCGGGAGGGTGACAATGGACTGAGGGTTTGTCATGGAGCCTTAAATTGGATCCAGACACCAAGCCTCAGCTCTCCTGCGGCTGGGGCAGGGTCTGACTGGGGGAAGACCCTGTCCTTTCCCTTTCCCTGTCCTTTCCTCCCAGGCAGACCTGTCCGGCACTAGCAGTGCCAGCACCCTGGGGTAAATGGGGTGATGGGTTGCTACAGCCCACTGAAGGGCTCTCTCTGATCTTGGGAGAGGTTTGACTTCAGGAGGGTGTATGGAGCTTGTGGGGGCTGGTTTGCCCAGGGGAACAACTGGCAACTCTAGCCCCCAGCTCAGAGCATCCTCTCATGTTTGGGAGGTTCAGCACATGGATGTTCAGGTCCGTGGCACCATCTAGTGACCCGCAGGCTAATAACAAGCCACTGGGGACCTGCTCCGGCACTCTCCTCTCACCTCCCTTAAGGGATGTCCCGGCCTAACAGTGACAAGAGGATGCTCACGGCCAGTGGACTTGTGGGCTCCACGCTCCTCCTGGAGCAGGCTTTCCTACTCAACTCAAAGGAGGCTCTGCTTCGGGCATAAAAGCTCAAACTTCCTGCCTTGGAGGGCTGCAGCCATTAGAGCATGCTCCTGGCTCCCAGCATCTCCAGACTGGAGACATGGAGAGGAAAGTCTAGCTCCCTCCCCGCTGGCTCAGACACCTCCCACAGCGCTCACCGTGTGGGACCAGCGTGATGTCCTGGGAGTTCGTGCCCAGGAAGTTTTGCACGGTGCATCTCAGCAGCAGGGGCTCGTCCACCCTGTGGAGCTGCAGGGCGCTGTTCACGCGGTATACCTGGAGCTCTGCGTGGTACGTGGCGTTGGTCTGCAGGCCGATCTCTGCAGAGTCGTTCCCCAGCAGCCGGGTGGGCTGCCCCTTGGTGCTGCACCTGCCCAGGGGTTACAGGCAGATAAGGGGCAGCCAGATATCCATGCCACCATGGGATGCCTGGGTGTGTGGAGGAGATCTCCTTGCTCTAAAACAGCGTCCTCTAACGCCCCTTCCTCATTTGACCTTCTTGTACCATTTGCTGGGGAGATGGAAGGCATTGGCCCAGATCCCTGTGAGCTACTAGGCTGAAGCCCCAGGATGTCTTCTGGGCCCAGTACATAGCATGTTTCATTTTTAAATTAATTTTCCAGCTCTTTTCCTTGCAAGCACAGACTGAAAGTACAAGGGGCTCAAATCTGCTACTGCAGCAGAGCCCCATGCTCTGCTCATCAGAGGCAGGGGTGACATGGCTGCGAACAATGCACAGCCAGCAGAACACAATAAAATAACAGTCTGTTATTATAACAGATTTGGGAGCCTTGCCGTTCCCATGGGCTCCATCTCTCTGCTTACCATTTGATGTCGCTGCAGGTGGACCAGCTGATCTCTGGCTGTGGCATTCCTTCAGCAGAGCACGTTACAGTCTGCTCCCCACTGCTGGCACTGCTGTTCTCCCTGAGATCCACCACTTTGGCTGGCACTGAAACCGAGGGGAGACACCGGTGAGAATCAATCCTCCGCTTTGCGTGCAGGATGGAAGGGATACATGATTGCTCTGCTCTCCCAACATGGCCCAGGGGTGAAAGGACAGTGAGCTAGAACCCATAACATCAGTCACGTTTCATTTTTGAAACTTAACAACAAAAAGAGAAAAGTTGGGGATGAGGGGGCAGGGAGGACACCAGCCCCTATCTAACTTGCTTGGGGAGCACAGGGGAGCACAGGGGGGGCATCAGCAGAACTGCCCACCCCTCTCTGCACACACTGTATTGGCACAGGGTGTGAAAGCCAAGCCACTGGTGTCTGCATTGCCTCTCTGCCCCTTGCTCTTAAAGCAAGCGTGAGATATTTCAAGTGAGTGTATTTCTTGCTTTTTTGACCAAAATCACTCTGAGGCTGTAGTCCCAGGAGCAAGGGCTTCAGCCTGAAGTCCTGCAGTGAAGGATGGAGCCATTGCCTAGGATGACCCCTGCACTCCTTGGCCTGGTCTCTGCCTCACCATTTATCTGCAGATGGAAGGACAGCTCCTGCATCTCATCCTCGTTGGAAGCCCGGATGGTGTAAAACCCTCCTTCTTCCTGCTTCACTCGCACCAGAACCAGAGCTGTTTGGTACCTGGAAGAGACAGTCCTGAGATTATGAGGACAGGGAGACACCTGGGGGCCAACAGCGCTTGGAGGGCACGAGCTCCCACCCTACTGTGGCATGCACAAAACCCATTTGCAAAAAGGTGTGTGTTCAATGGCTACCCCATGTCTGACTGGCTATTTCCAGTTTGCCTTGTGACCTGTCCACTCTTTGCACCTTGGTGAGGGGAGGTGGGCTTTCACCTGGTTTCTGAGAGGTTCCTGCTGGAGATGGTGAACTCGCTGTTGCTCTCCATGGTCAGTGTCTTGTTGTTCTTCAGCCACATGATGCTTGGTGGTGGGTAGGCCTCAACCTCCACCTGGATGGTGCGGCTCTTATGGACCTCAGCGTACTCTGTGCTGGCCAGGCGAGTGTGGAAGCGCACAAAGCCACGCTCTGAGAGAGTGCAGGAAGGGTAAGGGCTTCAGAGAGAGAAATGACCCCTCTCTGCCCCTTTGTCTGACACAGGGCAGGAAAAACATGGATCTAGAACAAAACACCCTGAAGACCCAGAAATGATGGGGCAACTCGCCCTAGACCCAGCCTTCAAGGCCTCAGGTCTGTGTCCAAGGGGAGCGTGGTTGCAGAGTTGTTTTTGGAGCAGGGGAGCTCATGGGGGAGATAACATGCAAGGAAAGGCTAAAATTACACAATGGGAGGACAGACACGGACGAGAGAGATGACAAGTGTGAGCTGGCAGTGCATGGCCCTGCACAGTGCAAAGCTGCTCTCAGTCACATGTGTCTTAGAGGGGCCCATAAAGCCATGGTGGGGGATTTGGGATTTTTTGATGCCTAGAACTGAGCAGGGATGACATTAAGCCTCTCCGGGGTGAGGAATGGCTTTTGGCCTCCTATACTAAGAAGGGGAGGAGGGAAGAGAGCTGGAGTATGTGTGGAGAGAAGAGGATTTGGCATCCTGGAGCCTGCCTGGATGCCCACGTGGTTTCTCTGGGTGCTAGCTTTGAGCGTGTGGGCAGCAACGTACCAATGACATGGACTGTGATATCTTTCCGGTCCGTTTTCTCGTGGTAGCCCTCCGAGACGTTGCAGATGTAGGTCCCACTATCTTCCAACTCTGCATTCTGGATGATGAGGATGGAGCGGATTTCGTGGGTGGATCCGGGCAGGAAGTCAGTCACTGGCTCCACAGCCTTCCCTGCCTGCACAATGGGGACAGGAGATATGCTCCGTGAAATCGGGGGCACGTTCTGCCATCGGAGCTACAGAGCCAGGCTCGTGGGGAGGGAGGAGAAGGGGGAAGAAGATCTCGGTCTGGGTGGGAAGGGGACAGTGGCACTGATCAGAGGCCACTGAGACAGATAGCTTTAGTCCAAGGATCTCCCCATCAAGCTCATGGCAAGAACATCCCACAGCTTCTGTCATGGAATGAAGCCTCTTGAGCACCGCTGTGATACTGATGTGTGGTTGCCATGGGAGTTCTGGGCGAAAGCTGGAGCTGCTGCCCAGAGACCACGAGACCAGAGCACTCACCTTCTTGCGAGGATAAGCCCAGTTGAAGTTGACCAGCTCATTGCCGCTCACAGTGCACATCAGGGTAATGTTCTCTCCCTGCCTCACAATGGTCTGCACCGCGCTGATGGAGACATTCACGGAGGAAACTGTGGACAGGGTCAAATGCAGGAATGAATAACGAAGGAAGGGAAGAGCAAGAAAGTAGGAGCACTGGGAGAGCTGCTTATCAGCACAGGCTCTGTGCCCATATGATCTCCCCACTCTTCTGGGTTTGCCTTTTATCTCAAGTGTCCCTGCTCAGGTGCAGGGACCAATTCTTTGTTCAGGGCTGTACAAAGGCAAGGGCCCCAGGCAGCTCACCCTGGATCCTGTATACATAGAACGTGTCTGAATCCACGTCCTGGTCATCCACAGTTGTCCGGCAGAAGTAGGTCTTGTCCTCAAAGAAGCCTTTGAAGCCCTGCTGTGGGTCATAAGCAGCTAGGATGGGGTTCTCCACCTTCTTCTCATAGAGGGTCACCTGCATCTGTGGGTTGGTCACACGGCACGGGATGATGGCCTCCGTGTAGCCCGTGATGAAGATGAAGAGCTCTTCGGCAGCTGTGGGGAGGAAGACTAGGGAGGGATCTGTGGGAGAGAGAGGCATGCTGGTTACGGTAAACTGCTTGAGGCTGAGCTATGGCTGCTCTGTGCCCCCACAGTGCTGGTCCAACATCGGGCTGTCTCCAGACTGCTGCTGTAGGTTGCTCGACCTTATCATGGCAATGCAGAGCCACTCACGGGAGGGTGAGAGAGACATGGCCAGCTGCCAGCTAGCACCATTGCCTCCCCCGTCACCTGCCCAACACGTGAAATGTGGGCCTCTCCTGTGACCCAATGCGCTAGAGACATAACAAATCCAGAAGCCTAGCCTGAGAGCTCTCTGCACTGGGAGGAAGGATTTTTGGAGGCCAAGCACTTGGAGGCTGAACAGTAATTCAGAACCCTCTTTCTCTTGGTTGCTAGACCCCTGTGGAAATGCAGAGACAAGAATGTGCTGTCCCATACCCGGAACATAGATGTAAACAGCCTTCCTCTCTGTTGGCTCTGGAGCCTGGTCAGGGCTGTAGGTGCACATATACTCCCCCGTTTGACGGCCCGTCACATTCCAGAGGGTGAGATTGCTGATGAAAACACCATCCTTGTGTTCCAGCGAGGCGGGGAGAGTCTGACCTTCCCGTTCCCAGACCAGCATGCCATCCCCATAGCACACGAGGGAGAAGGTGCTGTGGAGGCTAAGGACGATCTCAGCATCTCCAGGTTCGATGTGCAGCCTGCTGCTCCCGGATGTTACCTCCAGCAGACCTGCCAAGGGGAATTTGGAGGAGCAAGATGAGACTGTGATACCGTTACACTGGCCTGCGTGACATCTTTGGTGAGGACAGGGCTGGAAACAGGGGTGACCTGGGGACCACCCACATGTTTGCTCCTGTTCTCAGTTTTTCTGTGTACCATGACCTGGTCTAGGTGGCCCCAGGAGCTGACATTATGGATAGCAGTTCTGTTGACTCAAAATGAGACTATCTCATTTTGAGGCAAATGTAGGTCTCAGAGGTACCTTCAAAGGCTTGGAAAGGCTATTAGTGCATTTAGTGAGTGGGGGGTGGGGAGGAAAGGAAATGAGGCAATTCCCTGCTCTGCTGGCTGCCTTTCCATAGGACAGTGTCAGAAGTGACACAGACTAGCCAGAAACAACGCCAATTTAAAAGAAGATGAAAAAGGAATGGAAGCAAAACCTTGCAGGAAATCCTATGGAAGCAATAGAGCAGGCAAGGTCTTCCTGAATGACTTCCCGTGTCTCCCCTGGGTGGCTGCCATCCTCTTGGCTGCACCCTTTGCCCAGAGGTCCCAGCGGGGCTGAGAAGGGGCATGCGCTCTGCAGGGCGGCTGGGCACAGTGCCCAGCTCCCCGCACACCTGGGCAGCAGGGAAGCCGTGCCTCGCTGCAGGCAGAGCAGGCGCAGCCAGGTGCCTCATCGCCTTGGGGTGGGGGCTACGGGGTGTGTGGGGTCTGACTGAAGCCTCCCTGCCATGGGGGTGTCCAAAACAACTGGCTTCAGTAGCTTCTTGTGTGTCTGCTAAGGGCTGAGGGCAGCTGTGAAGGTCGCCTCCTTCTACACAGCTGAAACTGGTTGGGATGCCACATCCCACCCGCAGTAGCACTGGGTCAGCATGGGCTGATGAACTCAAGTCATTAGAGGGGACGGGTGCGTCCCGTATACGCAACATGGCAGTTGGCTCGTGTGCGCCTTGGAGAGCCGATGTGGCTCTGTGTCTCTCTGTCACGTACGTGCCTGGTGCACACTGCCTAACGTCTGTGCCTCCCAGCACCATTTGTTCCCTGTTGCCCTAGCTGGGGTGAGCATCCTGGGGCAGGTTCCCCCGTGCAGGGCCCAAACCTATGTGTGCCTCCCCAGCCGCGCCACTCACCAGTGAGGAAGAGGAGCCCGAGGGTTGCCTTCAGCAAGGTGCACAGCATGGTGGGGTCTGCAGCACAGCAGCCAAGTCCTGCCAAGAACAAAAGCAGGGTGAGCGCAGGGTGGCTGGCAGAGATGATTCCTCGCCTGCCCCAGACGCCCGAGCCTGGACCCGCTCTGCAGCCGTGGGGTCAGGGCAGCTCCCTTGTCCCAGCTGGAAACTTCACGTCTCTTCCCAGCTTTCCAGCCTGCCTGGTCAGCCCAGACTGCAGTGCCCCGGGACCTTTGCTCAGCCTTTCCCTCTTGGCGGGCTGCCCTGCTTTTCCTTCACGCTGGAGCTGCTGGAGGAGCTGTTTCTAAGGCATCTCCCACTGGTAAACAGGGATTTTGCGGGATGCTCCAGGATTTGTGTCAACTCTTGCTCATCTCTGCTCGAAAGGCCACTCCCCCTGCCGCAGAGCCCTGCCTTCACCGTCCCTCTGCTCAGCTGCTTGCCTTTTTTTTCCCGAGCTTTGCTTTCCCTTAGCTCCAGTGAGATAAAACTTGCTATAAAATGGATTCTCCCCCCTTTAATCCTCCCACATTTTTTGCTCTTTCCAACAAAACAAGCCCCCCAAAAAACCTGAAGATTTCCTATATTTTAGTTTAAAAATATATATATTTTAAGGGAAGACTTCAGAAGGCTTTTTGGTTAAAAATCCCTTTATTCAACATTTCTCAAGAAATCTTTCCCATAGATCCTTTACAGCCCTCCCTGGTGCAAACAGACAGTCCTGAAGAGACCAGGCCAATGCTTCCCATGAGCAGGGAGGTCTGTCCCCCGTGTGACGGGGTGACAGGTATCCCCCCTCCTCCCTTCTGCAGGTTGACAATGAACATTTCCGTAAAGCCAGACAAAGAGGCAAAAGAAAGAAGGAGGGAGGGGAAAAGGCTTCCCAGGGGAAAGCTGGGGGAAATGGAGGGCCAGTCCCTAAGGATTGGGAATGAATGGGAGGAGAGTTCCCCAACCCGGTTTGGGCTGAAAAGACGACAAGAGCAATTGCCCCAGCACTGGGCAAGGGAGCAGGGCCCCCGAGGCCGAAGCACCGGAGAGGCAGGCAGCCGCCGACAGTTAAGCAATGAGGATGGCAGAGCCAAAGCCACGGCTCAGCACTGCTGGGCTTTGGGAAGGTTTCCACACGGATCTGAACGTCATGACCCAGACATGCTGCTATTTGGGGATGAGCTGCCGCCCTGCAGCTGGGCCACCTCCCGCCTCCCAGCTGGTGGGGCCTCCTGCACCCGCGCCGTGCTGCCAGAGCCTGCCCTCAGTGCGCCAGGACCCCTGTGCTAGCGGCGTCTGGGGCTGCGACCCGGCTCCAGGTACCGTCTCTTACTGAATGACTTGTTGTCGCTTGGCCCTGGAGTTGCGTCTGGGTCTGCTTGATGTTAGGAGGAAATGGTTTTTAAATGACGTGTGCTCGTCAGATGTTTTTCTCTTGTTATTCTCTTGCTTTGGCTCAGGAAAGTCTGATCTACCAGCAAACTCTTCCAGGTCTCCAGCTTATTCAGCAGCTTCCCTCTATCCTCCCCTCCCTCCAGAAAACCCCTCTGTGACTCCTCCTGCGTTTGCCAGAGGGGATGAGAGTACTGCTAGGGAAGAGCTGGGGGTGGGTAGGATGAAAGGACCGAGGTGAAATTCAGGCTGCAAATGGATGCGACCTTGCTGCTCCCACCCTCCAAGCACACCAGCCTGCAGGAGAAGGGAGAAGGATGGACAACCTAATCTCGCTGCCCGCAAGACAATGCCATCAGGACAATTAGCTTTGTTTCCCAATTCTCCTTTGCAGAGGTGTGTGATTCATCCACTATTCAATGTCCAAGGCTTCAAGGACAGCTGGGATCATCTCCTTTCACCCCTCCCTGCCTGCATGCACCAGCCAGCCTGGATGGCCCATCCCAAATCTCTGCCGTCCAGCAATGAACGTCTTCCTGAGCTACTGCTCAGCTTCTAGCTGGCCGTCCAACTTCGTGACTGCCACCGTTAGCCTTGCTGCAGGTGAGGTGCTGCATTTTGGTGCTGGGCTAGCACAGATATTGCTCATGAGAGCCCTGCCGCCTCTTGCTGCCTCCCCTGCATTCATAGCTGATTTGAATAAAACTGCTAGTTTGCAGAAAGGCATTTCTCTTGGAGATGCTTCCTGAGCAGAGTGGGAGGGTGGCAGCATCTCATGAAGAGGAGTGACCTCCGCTCTGGCCGGTGTGAAATGCACGCAGGGAGACGCAGGGCTCTGCCCATCCCAGAGGACACGATGGCATCCAACAGGCTCACGCGCTGCCTCACGTGACTGGTGCGGGGAGGGGACAGGTTTGCTCCTTGCTTACATAGCCCCCTTCTGAGCCCCTTGCCCACAGGCTGGCCAAGCGGGGCAAGCCTTTCTTTACCGGTCACAGGGACACAGGCGTTTCACAGGGACGCAAAGACACCCATTACCCTGCCAGCCTTGAGAGCAATTCTTCTTTCCCTCCTCAATCTCAGCTTTTGTTCACAGCAAGAGTGATAAGACGTTTCTAGTAATGCCACTGCTTTCAATCAACCCCTGTGGCTGCCTCCTATCTTGCAGCAGCCCAGGCGACGTCCTGCACTGCGACCCCTCACCTCCCCTCTGTGGTCCCTGTGCACGGATCCAGGGCCCCCCCTCCAACACTGTGGTGTGAGGGCAAACTGGCCTCAGCCCGGCAGAGCAAGGAGGTTTTCTCTTTCGCCAGAGCCGGACTGTTTATTATTCTAAAAGAGGAATTTGGCTGGGAGAGGAGATGGGAGGTCAGCCGGCTCGGAGGCG